TCAGTATCATGACGACACAATTCACATTCAAGACACATCAGGTCTTGCTTAAATCTCATTTTCGATATGCGTTTGTCGAATAGACTGACATTTATTTTTCATTGTAATTGACGAGGTTACTTATATCCGATTGAAGCAGTTTTCGAGGCTAACATTACTTATTGATTAGGACGATAGTCACCCCAGGTCGCTGATTTTATTCGCCACGTCAACTCGACGATTAAGTTTTCATTTTCAGTAGTCAAGTCAGGTGGATAAAGAGGCCTAGAGCATCGCAAAAGCGGCCTCTTCTCGGCTTTCCGGTCTTTGCGAGTCTTCTGTCCTCGCTTGCCTTGCTGCATCTTCCTCAAAGATCAAGGCCTGACGGCTGCCGAATGAGATGTCGCTTCAGTCTGGACTGTCACGACCATCTTATTCCACTCGTCTTCTCTGGATTGCGGCAATTTTTTGGGAGAAGGATTTGTGCATTTGCTCCCGTTTCTATGGCACTACGAGGCAAGATGTACGCTCATTTCATGTGAAAGTGTTGATCGGTCTTATCAGAAGACGACGGCTTATCAACTATTGTTCTACAATCATTTGAGATACCATCTTTCGCTTCAAGTGAAGACTGGCTGAGCTTCTCGTAAACACGACAAGCTAACACTGTCAAGTGAACTAAATTGTGAAGAGAAGCTGGGTTTCTATTTTTTTTTAAATATGTGGAAAGATATAGTGTGATTTAGCTTTTTTACTCTTGATACTAGTCAAATGGAAGAGTTGTCTTGAGGAGGATTTGCGCATTCTCTACGGCTTCCACGAGTCAAGAAGCCAAGATGTACTCGGCTCTGCTTTGGATACGATGCTCATTTCGAGCATGCATCATCCCATCACTCGTCGCCACCACTACGCAACTGATCTTGACTCAACTGAGCGCGATGGGCGTTGTGATCGCCATTGCAGTCTGGGCGTGAATGAGACTGTACAGAAGACCTGATCCTCATTTCAGTCCATTTTATGATGACGCACTGCACACCAAACGACCCACTCAATGCTACTTTTGGTAGCTTGGCACGGTCGGTCCACTCCTTCACATCTGAGCATATGCAAACATGCACACAAACACACACAAACACAGAGTTCCTCACGCTGGTATGCGTAATATTATCGTACACATATTATGTTTGGGCATCTATTTAATCCGACCGACCAAGTTTTTACAGGTTACTTGACTTCCCAGCGCTTTTAGTGTTTTCCACTCTCCATCTCGTCTTATCTTTGAGCCCCAGTTTTGCATGTTCTCCCTTGCCTGCCTCTCGCTTCCCCTCTCTGCGCTGTTTCCCCAAACAAGCTGTGCACATACTTCTTCAGCATTTCCGTGATTAAGAATAGGCATTGGGAGCAGCAATTCTCGGTCTACTTTCCGCGATGGGCGCGCCACACCTTATCTTCTGCCATCTTTTTCTGTACATCGGTTTATCCAGCCATTCCTTTAGCTGCTACAGACAATTAACGTGTATGCCGGCGACTGTGATTCTGCCAAGTCGGCAGAAGCCATTTGAGACGTTTACTTCACAGTAATTGAATGTGAGAATTTTGACCAAACGATTAGGCCTGAAGTGTATTCTGCCTATTTCTTTTAAGGTCTTCATGAGACTGGTAGCTCAATTTTCCTACGACCAGATGAATAGACCTTGCGCTTTTATCCCATTTCCCGAAAGGTCATTCTCATCCAGAGAGTCCGGCTGGGCGAGTTCGAAACTGCATTCCACCCCAGCCTGGATGAAAATGTGAGCTCTACTCAACCGATTGTGTGTAAATTCAACTACAACGAAATGGGCTGGGTACATTCCATATATTTGGTCTACGGGTGGTCTCGAAAACCAACGCTTAAACGCAAAAAGTATCAGTCTTCGGTATTGTTGAATAAGATCTTCTTCGGTCTAGGTCGCTCAAGGTGACCTTAAGCAGCTGTAGTGTGAGTTTTCCACAATGATAGAATACATGGTATGAAGACCAAGATGGTATGGCCTTTTGTATGGTCGCATAGATGTTGTTTGACCTTGTTTTCGCAACATGGTCATGTTGGTAGGAAGACTTAGCGGAACGCATCGAGTCCGGGGTCCATTGTCTGCATGATCATTTCCAAAGTTGAACCGTGGACGTGGTACATTCCCAAACGTTGGGCCATTGTCTGCATGATCATTTCCAAAGTTGAACCGTGGACGTGGAACATTCCCAAACGTTTCGCCGGCATCAGTGATTATCGCCATTCTTAGCACGTTTGGGAATGTACCACGTCTACGGTTCAACTTTGGAAATGATCCTGCAGACAATGGACCCCGGACTCGGTGCGTTCCGCTAAGTCTTCCTACCAACATGACCATGTTGGGCAAACAATGTCAAACAATCTCGATAGGATATATGACTTGACAGGGCA